CAATAAAAAATAAACACATGCTCTATGAGATCCTTTAAGGGCTAGGCAAATATATCCTCCTTAATATACAAATACAAAGATGTTATATTATTTTGTAACTAGTAGAAATTACTGTTTGTCCCAAACTCCAAGTTTTGGGGGGAAAGTGAAGATTTAAGTAAACATGGGTAGTGATCCCAACAGAGGACAACTAAAATTGCAGAGGCTGGGCTCATTTTCTTGATAATTACTTGGTTGTTTTCCTTAGCTTCATGACAACCCTCTGTTGGTTTCATTCTCAGAATGTAAATAATAGAGTTGGGGGATATCAACATCTTTATAATTTGAAGATTAATTTTTTAAATCCTCATATGAGAATATTTCTATTGACTTTCAGAGAGAGTGGGAGGGGGAGAGACAGAGAAAGAGAAACATTGATGTGAGAGAGACACATCGATTTGTTTTGTCCTGCATGCAACCTGACCAGGGCCGAGGATCGAGTCAGCAACCAAGGTGCATGTCCTTGACCAGAATCTAACCCAGGACCCTTCAGTCCACAGGCCAATGTCCTACCCATTGAGCCAAACTGGCTAGGGCTAAAGATCTCTTTATGGCAAGACAAGTATATTTCTATGGTTAGCAGATACTCCTTGTTTAGTTTATTCAATTAATTGTATTTGGTTCCATCTTTATTCCAGAGAGAATATAGGTGGCTTATTTGATGTACTAGTACACTCAATACATGATCCTAATTGCTCCCAGAGGTTTTGCCAGACTACATGCAAAAATCAACAAAACAGCACAAGCACCCTATAAAATGTGAAAGAAAAAAAAAAGTAGAATAAATTCATGCCATTCCAAGTAAGAAAGTTCTGGTTAATGACACTTGGAATACTTAGTAAGACTAAATGATAACATTTGCAAAAACTGCCCTAGGATTCAAAGTTTCTTTGTTATATTTCCTGTCATGTGAAAGCACATCACAAAAGTACAGCCTTCTTAGCCTAACGGGTTTGGCTCAGTGGATAGAGCTTCAGCCTGAGAACTGAAGGATCTAGGGTTTGATTCTGGTCAAGGGCACATACAGGGTTGCAGGCTCGATCCCCACTAGGGGACGTGAGGGAGGCAGCCGATCAATAATTCTCATCATCGATGTTTCTATCTATTTCTAAAAGAAGGTTTCAGCTTTGAGATGACTTAGAGGCAAAATCTAACGTCCAGATGGCCTTGTTCTCCTTGGATATTAACCTTTCCAGCATTAGGCCAATCTCTGAGATTGGGAAATCAAACAAGTTCATAGCCAAGAAATGTAGAGACGTAAAAGAATAGAGCAAGTCAAAGCTAATTTTAAAGATTATAGTCCAATCACACATTTCCTAAAAGTGGCAGGGGAGTTTTAACTTACTAGAAATAAAATTATATCTGATTCTAAGTCCATAAATGAAAGATGTACCACCATTTGGTCCACAACAATTATTTCCTAATATTGAGAGAGGGCTCTTATAGTTCTGTTGCTTACAACGGATGAATTTGATATTTAAAACTAAGTGCACATAAGCGTATAACTTCTGAGCCTATCATAAACAAGAATAAGGTACATCATAAAAAACAAAGTGGCCCTGAGGCTTTTTGACCAAAGGAACAATGTCATGTCCTTGAACACCATCCAACCTTTTCAGCACCTTTAGCCCAGAAAAGCGTATGGGGCCCAATCCCACCATGTCACAAGGAACAAAGCCAAAATATTAAATCACCAATAGCATAAGGAAATACCATAAGGACTATGTAAATGTGTTTTTAAAATAACAAAACTACACAAGTGCTTTTAAAAATAACAAGTATCAAATATCCCTCCTCTCCAAAACATGTTGCTTTTGTTCACCTGTGTTTAGTTTGCTCACTGCATACTAACCCCGATCAAGAAAGACAAGTTAAAAACTGAAGGCCTATCTAAAGATGTCCGTAGTGCGATTTGTAGGACTTTAAGGTTACCCGCCAGAAGTTCAGGAGTCCAAAGGAATCCACAAGGAAGTGGCCTCCACGTCAGACATTCAGGTCTGATGCTGGAGAGGAGCCACACGGTGGGAGAGGGGGGAGGTTTGTGCAGAGACACATGCATCTGCTCGGATAGGTGCCTGGATGGGACTCCATCCTCCTGTCAACAGTGGGGAAAAGATGTCAAAGAGCCTGTAGCTCTACAAGGGCATGCCTTGTTGCTATCTCTTTCCCAACCTGTTAGGAAATGAACACAGGGGTGGATGGTAGCAACTGCCATTGCTTTCCCATCTCCCAGTGGAAAACTGCCAATAGACAAGAGAGTGTTGACCATCAAGGTGATCTTTCCCAAAAGTTTAATTTAACTCCTCTTTGTTGTAACAATGCAAGCAGCAAAGTGATTTGGTGGTTTCACTTCATATGGTAGTAGGTTGTGGTGTTTCCCATAAATGGATCTGTGCCTTCTTCCAGATATTGAAACTCCACTTGGAGATTTCACATTTCAGCCAACGCCAGAACACAGAGATGAAAAGGGCCTCGCAAAGATGAATTACACTCTAAAATACCAAACATGCTTGCACTTATGAAAAGAACTTTTAATAATAAGTATAATTTATCTCAACTGACTGTAATACAAAAACCTTAGTAAGCTCTGATTTTTCACATTTCAAATTAGAAATCAGTCTACGTTCCCAACAGCTTGATTTATTTCAAGGTATTGCAGAACAAGTTCTTAATTTCATCAAACAGAATTCCTCAATAGTCTCTATGGTTCATTCCATAATATAATGATATACGCAAAGCATGTTCAAATGATGGAATGTTTCTGAATCATCAAAGAATATTCTAATTATATTCCATTTGATTTTGGTATATGTATGTTTTATTATATTCTAACTCTGAAAAACTGGTAATTGTTGCATAATGTATGTATATACAATATTTAACAACCTAGTTTTAGGACATAGTTCTCAAAAAGGCTCAATTTCCAAGGAAAATTTAAAAGGAAAAAAATTAGGTTTGATTTTTTTTTCTTGTTTGCCATATTATATGCAAACATATAGATTAAGAGATGCTACACTGAATGCAGCAAGAAAAAGACGTGACAAAACTTCAAGGCAAATATTGAAAGGTTGAATTCTGACATTGCATAATTATTCAGAGTTTTGTTCTGCTCAAGGGAAGAACATTCTTATGTGAGCATAATTCTTTCTGTACATGTTCAGAAGTGCATTTCAAACAATAACAGCTTTATTAATTTCAAATTAAGGTGTGATTCTAAGGCACAGTACATATCCATTATTTAATCTAACTTAAAATACTCTTTTTCTACTAAAAGGTTCCTTTTCCTTTCCCATTCTTTGTAAAGTGAGTGAGGGAGCTTTAAGAACATGTTTGGGTGCATTTCACTCTTGGCTCTCCTGCTACGCAGAGAAAATATCAGTCAACTAAGAAGATATTTTAAAGATTACAAGCTCATGAAATTTTCTCAACTTCAGAAAATTTCTGACAAAATTCATTATATTGTATAAATAATTTATCATTGGAATCAGTGTATAGTTTATAAAGTTATAAAGAGTTTTTCTTTTGGGGATTCTAATTATCCAGACATACCAAAATAAAATAATAAATTCACTGAAATTTACATTTAAAATTGTTGTCTTTTTAATGTTTCATTATCAAATTGTAATAATATTAAAATGTTTTGATGAAAGTAATGAAAAATCAACTTAGTATTCATTTTTAAATCTAAATTTAAATAGAACTTTTATCCTTAAAGTATATATTATTTTTGTCAAAATGATTCTGTACAATACAGAGTAAATATGTAGTTGTAAAAAAATAATTTTTCTAAGATAAAAATGCAGTCAAGACTCAGAAAAAAAAATATTCTGTTTGACTTTGCATTTTTATTTGGATATTTACTTGATGTATCTTTCCAAACAAGGCTAATCTGACACCTGTAGTTTTGGGGTTCTTTAGGTATTTCAACCTCACATTAGCAAAGCATGATGACAAGGAAGATCAAACAATGAAGGGCTGAAGACTGAGTCTAGAGGAAACTTTCATTAAATTTTTTGGTTTATTTTCCATGGAAATAAAGATGCAATTATTTGGGGACGTGGATGGCATCTGAGTTTTTTTGTTTGGATGTTTTGTTTGCTTTGGTATTTGTTTTTGTTAGCTTTATTCTTAGAGCATTTCTTTACCAAAGTTACAGATATAATTAAAATTTTTACAACACTGAAATATTAGAAGTTCTCCTTTGCACTGGATTTATTTCATGTGAAAAAGACACCCCTCCTAAATCAATATCAAAAGTCTATATGTTCAGATTTAGGAGCAACAAAACCATGAAGACAGCCAAACTATAAAAGCCCATTTTCAGATCTGGAACAACTTCTGAAAATAAAGAGGATACTTGGCATACATTACACTAAACGAAAAGTCCAACTCTCATTATTTCCTGATTCTGGGAATCCAATAAAAACCTTACAGAATAAAAACTCTTGCAAAAATTCCATCACTGACAACATAACCAACCACCACTACCACCCTTTATAGTGAGAGTATGAAAAATTTTACTTTTTCATGTGTGTTTTATAAGAAAGATGCAAATGAGATTTTGGGGGGTGATTTTTTTGGGGGGGTGTTTTTTGTTTTGTTTTGTATTTGTTGTGTGGTTTTTAGGTGTTTTTGTTTTGTTTTGTTTTGTTTTTTGTTTTTTTGATTTTCAAACAGCAATGACTTTTAGCACCTGAAAAATACACAACTAAAATACACGCATATCCATTTTCAAAGAAAAACCAACAAAAATGAAAATGTTGGTGATTACATAAATGCTGATGACGCCAATATGGAAGCATGTACCACCGTGAAGGGCCTGAGCAGAATCACATCTTGTCCTGATCATACCTGCCCGCCAGAACAAAATAGGCAGCTGACCAATTATGGGGCGTTTATCTGCACAGTGGTACCTTTGTTCTGCAATGTCAGATTGCAAACGTCCTGGAACACATATTTACCTGGAGGATTCTTGGCAGGATCATTGTGGCTTGGACTTCCTGATTGTCCAGAATCTGTAACGAAATCACAGAAAATGTTTTATTTTTAATTTGTTTTCAAAGAATTTCGCAATCCTCAGAAGGGCTTCAAAAGTGTTTTTTAAGGTAGAACAATGAAGTTGAGTGTTTAGATAAAGTCTGCTTTCCCAAGCCTTTCAGCAGCAACATTTTTTATTTATCAAATTAGATGAATGCCTATACGTATTTCTATAGGGGGGGAGATTATTTGGGTAGAGAAAGGCTTTTTTGAAACAAAAGATCTGGCAATAATGGTGGTTTGAAGGTTGGGCCTGTCAGGAGCAACATGAAATACCCCAGACAAATCCCCTAAAAATGCAATCTGAGTGCAATTAAACATGCTTTTAAAAAACCTGAAGAGGGTTTTATTCAATGATGAAAATACACACAAACGAGAGCCCGTTTTTCCAAGATTTCGTGTGCATACACATGTGTGCGCTCCAATAATCCCCCCAACCTACTGGACCCAGGCCCAGATTTGTCCGCATCCCATAATAGTAATCGATTTGCAAACACCAAGAAAAAGCACAAATTACTAGGTAGATACCACCAACAGGGCTTGGAGGAGAGCAAATTGTTGGATCAATTTAATTTCCATCTGTGATAGACGGAGAGACTGCAGATAAGGAGGGGAGAGATGGATGCTGTGGATCTGGATTTCCTGCACCACTTTATTCCTCACCGACGCTGCAGAAGGGAACGTGAAGGCTACTCTACGGTTAGGCAACGAGCCTGGCCTGACTAATCCGCCCCCGTGGTGTTTTGTTCACTCCTCTTTACTCCTTGTCCCTTCTGCGTTTAGCTGTGTCACTTGCCCCTATTATTACACACGTACTTGCTTGCAGGTCCCTTTGTAATATTCTCTGATTGGTTCTCGTTCTTAAGCTTTGTCTTCCCAACTAAATGGCATGCTCCTAAGCAGAGACTGTCTATCTCTTTGTGTCTTCCTCTGTGTGCTGTTCGGGGCTGTGAACGCACTGGGGCTTTCAGAAAATGCCAGAGACATGGACGGCTCAGGTTCAGCAGCCTCCTTTGCTTGCCTAGAAAAGGTCGTTTTGAACTTGATGGTAAAGTTCAACAAAACCTGATAGGTGGGCACGGACATGTCGGCCCTTTCCCTGGGACCTTGCCACTGTAGCTAAGCCAAGACAGGGATTCAGTGCTATTGAAGCAGAAGAATCTTGTGCAAGTTTTTTTTTTTTTTAAGTGGGTAACTCGGCTCTTTCCCTGAGGAGATGAACATACTGCAATTGCTGTTTCTGCTATTCAATGCAAGGACATCCCGTTAGTTTCTTTCTGTCGAAAACTTGGTATTTATTCCTGCCCTTTGCCTCAGGCCTGCTAACTAGATTTAATGCTGAGATCGGATTTTTTTTAACCCCTTCATTCCACTTCCTTGTCAGTTTCTTTTTGTGCCAGAACAGTTTTCATGTAATCGTAGTAAACATATTTAGTGCTTCCCACATTACCCTCCAATTGATGGTGAGTTTTCAAAATTGAAGCAAAAACCTGGTATAAGGACTACTCCTCCTGCAAGTCAAATTCTTACTAGGTTTGTCCCTCTGAAAAGCTGGTCCCTCATCTCCAAATTATTCTGTTACATCTTCTGAAATTGAGGATTGATTCAGTGATGTATAACTTGGGAGATCCACCTTTCTCTTTTTTTACATTCCTGTAAAAGATGGTACCACATTGGCCACTTTCCAGGCATGGAGCATGAGGGTTGCATAAAAATGATAAATCATAGCATTTTGCTACAATCTCAGCTATTTTTGCCTTAGCCCCTCTGACAAATGGCCCTCTGTATTGATACTACATTACAGTTTCATTTCTCAAGCGACTCCAACATTTTGAGGGTTCCTTAGCACATCCTCTGACCAAAGAATTCCCGTGTTTTCTTTTCCCCTCTAATGCTGCCTCATATCTAAGGAGGTCTGGACACACATCCTTCAAGGTGGCTCATTCCACCTTCATGAAGACACACTGTGTGGAAGATTAAGGTTATCAACAGAGAACAGAAGTTGTAGACTCTACATGAAGCTTAGTATGGTTAGTTAAATCAACTTCAAAATGGCATCACAAAATGCTAAAAGTTGGACCAGTAAAGAATGGCAGTCTTGCCCTAACCAGTTTGGCTCAGTGGATAGACTGTCGGCCTGCGGACTGAATGGTCCCAGGTTTGATTCCAGTCAAGGGCATGTACCTTGGTTGCGGGCACATCCCCAGTAGGGGGCATGTAGGAGGCAGCTGATGGATGTTTCTCTCTCATGGATGTTTCTAACTCTCTATCCTTCTCCCTTACTCTCTGTAAAAAAAAAAAAAAAAAAAAAAAAAAAAAAAAAAAAAGAATAAAATGTATTTAAAATAAAATAAAAGAATGACAGTCATTTCCCTTCCTAAGAAAGTATTCCATTGGAACAATGGCACCCCCTGTGACCACAACATCCCCCTTGGGAAACCTGTTCTTTTCTACTACAAATTACCCTTTTCCTCCATTTCCAACAAATGCAGGCTAACCTCTTCAATTGAAAAAAATATAATCACTAAAAAAACCCACAAGCATTTGAGGGAAATCTGAAATAGACCCTAAAATGTGAGTCATATACTAGGTTTTAATAAGAATTCCACTTACTAAAATGATCTGGCATTTACTGGCACACAAGGGCAGCTCATACTCCAAAGCCTGTGCCGTCCCAGGAGGTGAAATGGCATATACTGGCTCCCCAAGCATAGAGGAGGGCCCCTCCGGGAGAGGGCTAGGAAACACTTACTTTTCAGACTGTAAATTCTAACACTATTATCTACTCTTATGTCACCTTATATCGGTCACTTAATTCCAGCTGCTGGAAGAGGAAGCAAGCAGGGAGTCGCACTTGGCAGAAAAGCCAAAAATGGACTGTTATTGTGGTTATCTTCAGAGAAGCAATTATTGAGACCACATCCAAAACCCTTCCAGTTCACTACCCAGGTCAACTTACTCTATATCCAAAGGTTTCATTTAACCACTTCCATCATTTGCTCAAGTCGTGTGTGTGTGTGTGTGTGTGTGTGTGTGTGTGTGTGTGTGTGTGTGTTTGTACTTAATGTGTCATAGCTCTGTCCCTCACTAGTGTGATCTTGTGCAAAATTACTTAAGTCGTAGAGCCTTGGGGTCTTAATTTTTAAAACTGTAATACTATCTATGTCATAGAATCATTGCCAATATTTTATTATATAAGGCAGGCGTTCTCAACCTTCTTTTTGCTGCTACACTTTAATACAGTTCCTCATGTTGGGATGACCCCCAACCATAAAACTATTTTCCTTGCTACTGCATAACTGTAATTTTGCTACTGTTATGAATTGTAATGTAAATATCTGTGTTTTCTTAGGCGACCCTGCTAGTGGTTCTCAACCCACATAAGGAACTGTATTAAAAGGTCGTGGCATTAGGAAGGTTGAGAACCACTGATATAAGGCATCAAGCACTGGTTAGACACATTCTGCACAATCCATAAATGAAAGTAATATTAAACACAGAGGCCACATTTTAAAAAATAATTCATAGTTTGAATCGACCAACTTTTAGGAAGAAAAGGAGAAAAGGGATGTGACAGAATCCTGTCCATCCTAAGACAAGCATCTAAAATTGTCTGTGGTTAATCAACTGAACACAGACCCAGTGTGTGGCCTTCGGAGAAGTCCCACTGTCCCCAAAATAGACAAGTCATATTGCTGTTGATAGGATCTCAGGAGCTCTCATGCTCAAAAAGCAATAGGTATCAGCCATCTGATAAAATTACCTAACATAAGGCTTAAATATTTGAGGAAGAAGGCTGGTAAGGGTGGGGTTGTGAGTCACCCAGCACACTGGATCCTCAGTTTAGAAAGATTTTGATTCAGTAGAAAAATAAGGGAGGAGACTGGGTCTTGAAGGCAGCAGACCTAAACCAGTCCTCGTCATTCCCTCTGCATTTCATTTTTGTCTTCCTTGATCTCAATCTCTTTTTTTTTTTCCATTTCCTTGTTTATATCTTTCTGGTTTATAGCACATAATGTATATCTTGTACTCCATACTTATGATAATCTCATATTCCCATTCTTTAAGTGTGAATCAAGCATACTATATTTCTTCTTCTAGGAAAAATATTAATAAAATTATTTCTAAATTACTAGTCAATGAATTCCTCCTCCCTTAGGTTATAGATTCCCCAGAAACTTATTAAGAAAGGTTTACACCCCCACATGATGACCCTTACCAACTTTTCCTCAACACTTCTACACTCCTTTAAAAAAAAAAAAAAAAAAAAAAAAAAAAGCAGCCAAATCTTTTATGGCTTTTCTAATATCTAAACTTTACCTGAGGAGTGACCGGGTTTTGTAAAGAGCCAATTTTATAGCAAATCCTGGATACTTCGGTGACTTAAATGGCTTATCCAAAGTTAAATGGCAACTATTAAAATGCATGTCTTCTACATGGGTCACCCATTCAGACACATTGCCTCTTGGGTGGCTATGATGCAATCTGAAAATCATGCAAAGCCAAATGATCTCTTAGTAGATTATGTGTTTCTGAGAACTTGACCTTCCCTAACTTCCCACCATTTACCAATACATTCAAAACACTTTTCACAAATAAAATACACACACACACACACACACACACACACACACACACACACACACACAAAAAAAAAAAAAAAAAACCTTTAGCTATTCTTTCTATCTACATTGGAAATAATAATTGAAGTCTTTACACCAATGGATGCTATTAAGACTGACCAACTCTAAATCAAATTTAGTTTGGATTCTCTCCACTAAACAAAGGACATTCTAATGTTTCACTTATAATCTGGTGAAAGTCCAATAAAATGTTTGTTAAATATATAAGATAATAAATAATGACCTGCTAAATGTTTGTTACTGAGTATTAACTTTCTAGGGGGGAATGAACTCACTTATCTGATGTGGGTGGATCATCAAAACTGTGAAAGATTTTTTGAAGGTCTTTAATGTAA